CAGCCATGTACCTGTTCCTCCACGAGCTGTCTCACAAGCCCACAGCCAGGCCCCTGCCCAGCCATCCCCATGGTGAACCCTTGTGGGCCCCTCTGGGCCACCCCAGCCCCAGGTGAGGTCAGTCAGGACACTTCAGCTGGCAATGGGTGAGGCTTCAAAAGCCTCTAGCAGTGCAGGGCTGTCAGGAGAGGGGTTGGTGTTGCCTGGACTTTCTGCATAGACTTGTTCTGTGGGGCTCAGGGGGTCCCCTGGGCCATGCCCAGTGGGTTCCCAGGGCCCGCACAGTACCAGAGCCATGGGGCTGCTCACCCAGAGGGGACAAGAGGAGAGAACCACTGCCAGATGCACGGCAGCCCCTGAGGATCGTACAGGTGTGTTGGTGCTGGATTTGGGGTGCTGCAGGGACCCCTCATGGGTGAGGGGCTGCTTCCTCTGGAGCCGTGGCTTTCCTGCAGCCCGAGATCTCTGACAACACTCCCTGCTCTCCTGGTCTTTTGTGGCTTTTTTAGCCAGCCTATGGTGGCTTCCAAATAGGGCAGTGACACCTCTTGGCATGTGGGGGTACTCCCGGTGCAGTTAGGAAGAAGAAGGTTGGCCTTCCTTCACCAAGTGATGGTGCCAGAGGAGGCAGCAGTGTTGGAAGTGAGTGTGAGTTACCCAATCCTCTCCCTTCAGCGGGAAGCGGGGCAGCTTGCTTCTGATTTTCTTCCTTCAAGTTTACGTAAGGCAAGGACGGGTTACAGAGCTGTGGAAGAGCCGGGCTGGCTGAACATGAGGTGACACTGAAAACAAGCTTCAAAAAAAAATTACCAGCTTGTGTTTGAGTACAGATCCCTCATTTGCAGTTAAATATAATTGTGAAGGTCTGTGAGCCAGAGAGATATTTCTAGTTATTGGAGAACTAGCTCCTGCCCCTGTGATCCCCGAGGAATGATAATGAGATTTACCCTAAGCAGGCACTGCGGCGAGCCTGGAGAGCTCCGTGCATGATGGTGTCTGATGAGAGCAGAGATGGTTACGGGGTCCCCGCCTGCCGCAGCACGCAGATGAACCCTGCCACTGCATCATTTTCTGTGTTGCTCACACAGTGCCTGATGCTGACAGACCCAGTAGGGCTGCCTGGAGCCCTCTGACACTAGGGAGGTGGCTCTGGCTCCCTCCAGGGCAGAAAGGATGCTCGTGTGGGAGAGAGGGAGGATCCAGCCACTCTCTGGGACCAGGACATGGGGAGCTTGTGGGTCATCCTTGCCCTTCCTGCACTGCCTGCTCCCAAGGCCCTTGCCTCGTTTTCCTCAGGTCCTGGTATATGTCCAGTCCGAGCACAGCCAGCAGGTGCCCAGCACCACAGGCAGGATTCAGCCACTGTCCCACTACCCAGGTGGTCATGGCTGGGACAGAGGGTCAGCCCAACCTGGCACCCTCATTCTCATCTGCTGGATGCAGTGCTGGGGTCGGTGCCTGCTGGACCTCATCCTGGTGGGAACAGCCCTGGCCCCTGGTGTGGTGGGTGGCAGAGCTGCAGCACAGCCCCTGCTACAAGGGGCAGGAGCTCGGAAGGCACCGGTGCACCCCTGCCCACCTTGGTTATGGTCTTTGCAGCGTCAGTGACAGATATGTAAGGATTAAATCGCAGTAATCTCTGTAATCTACTCAGCAAGATTAAAACCTCCCCCCTCCCCCAGACTTTATCCCTTTCATTCCAGGACTCCTGAGCAGTGATTACAGCTGGGGGAAGCCATTTAGCTTTTAAGCACCATTCCATCCTTCTTAAAAATGCATTTCAGAATCAAATGAGTTTGTGTAGCGTGGCCAGAGCTGGCTGCTCTGGCTGGGCAGGAGGCTCAGAATTAGGACCAAAGTAGCTTGAGTCAGAGTCAAAATTAAATTTATTGTTTCTGGCCTTATTGGGAATACAGTGCATTTACAACTGATTAACAAGGCTTAACAAGAGTTCAGACTCAATTCAAGGCAGCTCCAAAGCCTGTGCTTCCACTCTGCTGTCTGATGGGCACTTTAGGACTCCACTGCCCTTGGGAGACCCCACACTGCGGCACTGGGAGATCTGCCAGCCAGTGTTGGGTTGGGTGGGGATGAGCCAAGGGGCTGCAGGAGCCAGAATCAGCCCTCAGAAGGAGCTCTGGGGCCAGGGCAGTTGAAGTGCCATTAGCTGATGGGACTGAGCATCACCTCCATCCTCTGCACCAAGCCTGTGGCTCTCACTGGGCCAGGATGGTGTGAGGGTTACACCAAAGGAGAGGGAGGGACAGAGAGAGGGAGGGAGAACCACATGAGCTCTGACAGCTTCTGCAGTGGTGGTGGAGCCTTTGGGAGTGAGGATGCACACCCAGCATGCTCACAGTGCTTGGGAATGGCTGGGTCCTGCTGGCACGTGCCCCCTCACAATATCCACGGTGTCCTGGGCACGTGCAGCAGTTCTCTGAGCACCATCAGCTCCGAGCCCCATCCCTGCACCCTCCTTGTCCCTCACTGCTGCCCTTGGGTCTGGCCCAGCCACATCCCTCTCTTCCACTGTCCTACTGCAAAGTGCCAAAATGTCCTTTTTCCAGCTCCAAGTTTTCTGCCAAGACAGGGAGAATAGGGAGGCACTTGAGCAGCAGACCCTGAAACACTGTGCCTGTTTCAGGACCTCTCCAGGGCCATGAGGCTGAAGCAGCTCAGCCCTGGCTGCCCCACAGCACTGAGGATCCCCCTGTCCACATACACGCACTGCCCAGCCTCCGCACAAGGGGGGGTGGCAGTTTTCAGCCCAGAAAGGAAAGGTTGTTAATGACATACATATTAGACACAGAAAACCAGATTAACAGTGACACTTTGGCCCTGAGGGCTTTCTTTGGCTCTGGAAATAAATTCTAACCTTGTTCTCTTCTGCCTACAACCTGGAGACATCACGGGCAGGACACCACCTTTAATCTTATTTGCTATTTCCAGCGTGCATTTTATTGCTTCTCTTTTCCTTTAGGTTTCATGTGCTCCTGGCACAAACGCTGTGTATTTCTGTAATAATCCCCTGATCCCTACACTTGTGCAGCTTTCGCTCTGCCTGCCTGGCAGCTGCCTGTGCTTGGGATGAGCCCTGGTCCAGGTCCTCCACGGAAAACCCACAGAGCTAGGAGCTCCTGGCACTGGATCCTGCTGCTGTTAGTTCATGGTATGGGGTGATCAGTCCCTTGGAGAAGAAGCAAGGCAAAAGGGCTGAGGGCTGCAGACAGGCTCCAAATCCCTTCCATGGTGTTTGTGTCATGACTGCTGCTGGCCACAGCCCTGTGGTCCCATGAGCTGGGTGCTGCTCTGGGCATGGAGGAGCAGGACAGGCTACCAGGGCCATACTGAAGAAACTGCCCTGGGCAAACCAGCACACAGGAGCTGCAATGAGCTGCAAGTGGCCTGGGAGGCACAGAACGCTGGGAATCCTTCAGGGTTAATGTCAGGCAAGACAGTGGGGTCTCCAGCTGTTTTGGTAAATCCCAGGCCAGCAGGAGACCAGAGAGCTTGGGAGCAATGAAGGAGGCAAGATGGCAAAGATCCACTTGGGAAGAGAGGCAGGAACCCAAGGAGTAGGGGCACTAATGGGACCCTGAAAAGAGCCTAAGGGCAGTGGGGAAGAGAGGACAAAGGAGAGGATGGCATAAGGCTGGCAGGAGAGGCAGCGCCAGCTCCTCACAGGATCGGCTGAGGGGGGCAGGGGGAGCCATGACCTTCTCCAGAGCTTGCAGCTCTTCCTCCAAGCCCCGTGGTTCAAGTTGCTGGCTGAGAAGAGGGAATCTCCTGCAGCGACCCAGTGGGCTCTTTCCTCCTGCAATGCCAGTGCCTGGCTTCCCCCTGCCGGGGATCCCACCAGGAGCTGGCTCCCAGCGCTCTGCCAGCACAGGCGGCAGGGCCGGGAGCGTGCCGATGGCACCAGAAAGCTGTTGTTTATGTGGAGTGGGGTGTAAACAGCAAAACATGTCATGGGAAAGACATGCCCTGCACGGATATAAAGACTGGAAGCAAAATTGTTGGCTTTACAAAACATTCCTCCCTTGCAAGCAGAGAAACCTGGAGGTGTCAAGGCACCAGCAGCAGCTTTATTTATCCAGACGCCTCTAATTTTCATGCTTAGGCAATGTGTCTGCTGCCGAGGCTGGATCACCACACGGAGGTGGTGATCTAAAATGGAAAAAGCAACTTTTCCACAGATTTGGCAGTTTGTCATGGAGAGGAACTGAATGATGGACACTTCCCACCGTGGGAAGAGGAACCTACAGTGCCCAGTCCCTCGGGTACCCCCACCCTTGCTACTGTTGCCCAGGCAGGGCAGCATCCTTCAGCCAGAGGGCTGAAGCCCCATGGGGTCTGTCAGTGCCAGGGCCCTGCCCAGCACTGTTGCAGGGGGTACAGGCAGTGGGAGGACCAGCTTCGGGTGCGTTCACACCAGCCAGGGATCGCCAAGTGCCATCTGGCTCCTCTGGGCTGGTGCTGGGCACATGGCTCCATCGCCCTGCCTTGACCCATACAGGGGGGCCAGGACACAGCCCTCCTGGGCAGAAGCTGCTGCCACACAGAGCGGTGGACACAAGGTCCCAACAGCAAAACCCTTGTGGGTCATTCAGGTTTGGCCCCATGAGGACTCAGCCCATCCTCTAGATCCAAAGCTCTCCCGAGCCAGTAGGCTCCTTCTTCCTTAAGAAACTCCATTCCCAGGGAGGAGCAGTGCCACTGCTCCCAACACCAGCCCAGCTGAGAGGCTGCAGGCAGCACAGCTTTTCAGTTCTTCTCTATCATTCCTTACATCTGCACTGAGTTCTGGGTGTTGTACAGGAGGAAACCTTGTTCCTGCCCTAGACTGGCTGCCAGGAGCCTGCAGCATCCTCGTTTGTGTCAGGCTGGCACTTCTTGCCTGTCTCTCCCTATTACCATCATTCTTCCCAAGGAACAAGACAAGTAGTTTTCTGCAGCTGAACAAGCTTCCAGTGCTGAGAAAGCAGGAGTGATGGTTGTTAATGTCTAAGCGGTGCCGCACGCAGCCCTTTGGCTCAGGAGGAGCAGCCAAGTGGAAGCCTGGGCTGTCGGGGTGAGAGAGTGAAGGGGGAGCCGGAGGTGAGGATGGAGCAGGCTGCACCCATACCCTGAGACAGCCGATGGGCTTCCCGGGTCAGCCTGCTTGTGAGGTATCACACCTGGGACAGGCGGGGCTGAGCAGCCCCAGTCCGGCAGTGAAATTTAATTCTTGCGTCACTTTGAAGCTTTTCCCTCCTACTTACCGGCGGCACCGCGGCGGCCGATGGCTGCTCCTCCTGCCCTTGCCGAGGACAGAAGCGGCTGCTGCCGTGGGGCGGCCCCGCCGGGGCTGCTGGTTGCGGCTCCGGCACCGGGCAGGGGCGTCCCGGGGACCGGCCGTGCCCCGAGCCCCGGCTGCCGCTTGCGGACGGGGGCTGCTCGAACCACTCCGGTGCCGGTTCCCGTTCCCGGGCGGGGCCTGCGGGACTGCGGCAGGTGCCGCTCTCGGTCCGGCCGCGGGAGCGGAGGCGGGTGCCCTCGGCCCCGCACCGTTGCTCCGGGCGGTTCAGGGACGGCTGCGGGAGCAGGACGGGGCAGAGTCGGGCAGGACAGCGGGAGCCTCCGGCCCCGGCGGCGCGGCGGGGATCGGACGATCGCACCGGGACCAGGGCCCGGCAGGGCAGGACTCGGCGCGGAGCGAAGCCGCCCCAGCCCCTGGCAGCCCGGTCCCGGGAGGAAGGAAGGGCTCAGCGCGGCGGTGCCCCCGGCCCGGCCCGGGTGAGGCAGCGGCCGCCGAGCGGCCGCGGGGGCTCCGGGAGGCGCTGACGTCAGGCGGCCCCTTAAATGGCGGCGCAGCCGCCGCTGCCCCGGCACTTCCCGCGGAGGCAGCGCGGAGCCGCGGCCGCCCGAGCGCGGGGATGGCCGCGGCGGGGCG